ACCTAACAGTTACAGTATCAGGGGTTGTAACATCTAGTCCTGAATCTTTCATGGTCTTGGGCTTTGACCCAGTGTTTTAAGTTTGTTTTGTACTATGTTTTTTGCATTGTTTGGTCTTGTTCACTCTTTGGGGAATTATTGATTCTTATGTTACGTTTTCAGAGCCCTGATCCAAGTTGTTATTATAATAACTTAATGAGTAACCAATAACTTGTTCTAGCATAAATGCTATGGTGACTTCCAAACTTCAAAGTCCTTATTTCATCAACAACATAACATTTATTGACTTTGGTTTTATTCGGAATATTTGGAAACATCCAATTTGAATTCTTCTTATTATAGCATACAGTATAGTAGAATGTATTATGAGAAACATTAACAATTACAGGCAAAGCAATATCTATGAAAACATTGCTCTGAGTAAAATAAAGTGCAGTATATAACTACAACCAGTTCACCGATGTTCTCTTAAGGTCTTCTATCCATATTTGATGCACTTAAGGTGGTTTTTGAAGAAATGAAGCTGCAATTTGAATTCTGAGTCATCCTTTCTAGGATTTCTGAACTTGCGATAACGAGCACTTCTGGCTACATGTTGATGGTCAATGGATACATCACCACAAGTGGCAACAAGTAAATAGCCCAGGCCATCCATAAAGAACTCTAGATTTAAAAAAAAAACAACAAGTATTTTAAAATAAAACATTTTGTTATCATAGCTAAGCAAAACTGTTAGCCCCCCCTTATTGTCACTTTTAAACCAAACTGAGAGCTGGACCTACCTGAATGTGCTATCCGCTGTAGCTTAGGGTCAAAACCCACCCTCTGTACAGCATCTGTACGGGCCAGGAAGAAGTTGACCACTCCACTGGCCAAAAAGCATTGTGGGTAACCAGGAACTGAATGTAATTTCTTATTAGACTTCCTGTATAAGCAGCCACCTTCAGTTTCTTCTCCTTCTTCATAGATAAGAGAGAAATAAAACTGATTCTGTTTTACTGACCCACCAACCTAAAAAGAAGAGAAACCGAAGAGCGAGCTATAAATATTGTCATGAACAGAGATGGGCAGTAA